TAGGCCAGGCGTTCCATCTTGGGGTTACTATATTTCCAAGTAGTGCCTGGGGAGACTAGCTCATTCCCCACCTACAGTATCCACAGGAACATCTGCTTTAGCTTATCAGAAAGTCAAAACACCCGCCCGTCAACCCTCATCTTTTCTGCTTAAAGACACATTCCTGATGTCTGATGCTCAGCCCTCCCCAGGAGTGCACCCCTGGGCCGCCCATGTGAGTGTGTAAAGCTGTGAACTGATCTTCATGATCCTTTGAAGAGCCTCTTACATCCTAGTTTGTTTAACCTTCTCACATGCATAGCAGGACTTCTCTTTGGGGAATCATGGAATGACTACTGACTCATTAGATAAGGCAGGAGTCCTGGAAACGGGAAACTAAAAACAGGCTGTGAAACCAATTTCATTCCCTTCTCTCAGGTAATTCAGAATGTGGAAAGCAGCCTGGACTCTGAGTCAGCACACTGGTGTTCAGCTCACAGTCCCACTAGGTACTGGATGACATGGGACAGGCCCTGTGGCCTCTCAGAGTCTAGTTTTCTCTTCTATAAAAACGGTAATAATAATACCCATGTTTCCAGCCACACAGATTCTGAAGAGGTCAGAATAGAATAATGGGGTGGGAAGGCATGTTAAGAAGCATCTGATGCTTGAGTTCATTCTTATAGTATCATCACCAGTAAGTCATGAATCCTATCCTGGAATTTTTTCTGTGATGGGGATCTCATTCTTACAGAGGGCAGTATATTGTGAGATGGCTCTGATTTATTTTGTGCTTTAAACAGCCTCTGTTGGCATCTTACCAGTTGATTCTTCTTTGCTGGATACACAGAATTGAATGAAATACTATTCTGAAAGAACGTTTTTCAGATGTCTGGAGTTAGTACTGAACTCTGATACACATAGAGCACAATCATTGTTATGATTCTCCAAAGATGCTTTAGGTAACTTATGACCCTTGATGTACCTTGTCAGACTTAAATGTGGTATTCAGGATGATTTGAAAGGGGAAGAATGAATTGGGCATTCACCTCCCTTCTAGATACTCTGTCTGTATTAATGGCTGCTGAGTCTTGAGTTAACTTTGCTGGTGACCACATCCCAATGCACTTCCTTCACAGTATGAACTGAAATCACCGAACTTTCTGATCACTACCTCCTTTCTTTCCAGCTTATTCCGCCTTGCATCTAGACCTCACCAGGACTTATGGACCATCAATCCTGTCACCTTTTCTACCTTACTTCCCCTGCTGCACACATCCACATGTCCCTTTTTACTTAGCCTAGACCTTCTGGCACATTGTTAGAGTTATTCCTTTGAATATACTCTCAACTCCTGTCTCTTTCCCTTTCTATCTTGCCTGGCAAAATCCCAACCCTGATGATATCCTACTCTCTGTCTCTTCCTGCCACATACCCAGACAGTTGAACCTAGGTAGAGAAATAGAGAAACAGTTTAACTGACTGTCTTAGTCTGTTTTGTGCTGCTGTAACAGAATACCATAGTCTGAGTAATTTACAAAGAAAAGAAACTTATTTCACACAGTATAGCTACAAAGTCCAAAATAAAGCTGCCAGCATCTGGTAAGGGCTTTCATACTGCATCGTCTCATGGCGGAAGGCAGAAGAGCAAGAGAGTAAGAAAGTAAGAGCTTGAAATCACAGCTGTGACCCCCACTGCTTTTTTTTTTTTTTTTTTGGTATTGGGGATTGAACCCAGGGGCTTTAACTTCTGAGCTACATCTTCAGCCCATTTTATTTTTTATTTTGAGACAGAATCACACTGAATTACTGAGGCTATCATCAAACTTGCAATCCTCTTGCCTCAACCTCCCAAGTTGCTGGAGCCCCACCATGTCCATGTACTTTTATAATTGGTATCAACTCATCTGTGAGATTGGAGCCTTCATGACCTAAATGCCTTCCATTAGGCTCCACATCCCAGGATTTGGTGCATAGGAGATTAAGGTTCCAACACACACTTTTTTTTCAATTTAAAATAATGCTTTATTTCCAGTAAAATAAGCTGTAAAAATATATACAGTTTTTTTAAAAAAATTACAGGTTATACAATATGTGTAGTATGATCCCACTTTTAATAAAGAGTATGATAATTTAGTACACATTTGTGTGCAAAGGAAAGGGCTGGCAAGAGTAATCATCAATCTGCCTTAAAGAGGGGAATATATGAAAATATAAAAAATGTTGTGACATTCTCAATTTATATAATTCTGACAAGTTAAAACTGTTTTTCAAAATGCATATGTTTCTGTTGTAAATCTTAAAAAAAACTTTAAAATATAAGTTAAAAATTATAACTTAATTAACAGAATATCATTTTACTTACAATTCAGAAAAATGCCACAAGGGCAGGTGAAATGACTATGAATCCTTGAAAATGTAGTTTGAAAAGTGTCTCTCTATGTTAATTGATAAGATGGGTGTTTGAAAGTACTTGTATTTCGGTTCTATTGAACAAATATCTAAGACCAAACAACAAACTTGGTGAAAAGTTCTATTAAAAGAAAAATGCAAATATGTTATTAAGAAAAGAATCTTTGAGAAAGAAATGAAGCAGAAGAAATCACTTTAAAATGAAAACAAGATTGGTTATCACTTAGCACAGGCAGAATGACCCTCCCTTCATAGGCTCCACCATACTTTGGAAACATGAAAACGTGCCCTTTACACACAAATCCTTAAGGCTGGAGATTGAAACTTGGGCCACTGGAGAAAGTTAGAGAAATATCACTGGGAGTACAAGGTCAGGCCCCTTACTTTCCTCCTTAAAGACTACACTGAACTCACAAGACATTTTTCAGTATTCCTCCTCATCCCCTCCTGTTTCTCCTCCTCCTTTCTTTCTTTTTCTTTTTCTGTTTTTTTTTTTTTTGCTTTTATAGGTTTTATTTAGAACTGGGTGGGTCTATCTGAAAGCTATCATTAAAGATATAGGTTTTTCTTAAGAACCACCATTTGACCCAGTTATCCCACTCCTTGGAATATACCCAAAGGACTTAAAATCAGCATACTACAGTGATGCAGCCACATCCATGTTTATAGCAGCTCAATTCACAATAGCTAAACTGTGGAAACAACCTGGATGCCCTTCAATAGAAGAATGGATAAAGAAACTGTGGCATATATATACACAATGGAATATTACTCAGAATTAAAATACAATAAAATCATGGCATTTGCAGGTAAATGGATGGAGTTGGAGAATATCATGCTAAGTGAAGTAAGCGCATCCCCCCAAATCAAAGGCTGAATGTTCTCTCTGATATGTGGATGCTAACACATGATAAGGGGAGGGGTAGAGGGAAGAATAGAATTGGAAGGGGAATGAAGGGAAAGGAGGGGAGATGGAAATAGAAAAGATAGTAGAATGAATCAGACATAACCTTCCTATGTTCATTTATGAATACACCACCAGTAAAATTCCACATCATGTACAACCACAAGAATGGGATCCTAAGTTATACTCTGTGTATGTGTAATATGTCAAAATACACTGAACTGTCATGTATATCTAAATAGAACAAATAAAAAGCAAAACAAAACAAACAAAAAGATCCAGTAGGGCTTCCAGATCCCATATCTGTAGAAGATGTTTTTTTGTACTTTTAACTTTGATACTTGTTAAAAGGGAATTCCAACACAGGCTTTTTCGGGGACCGATTCAAACCATACCATTGACCTAGGCTAAATTCATGACCAATAGCTTCAAGTGGGTCCATGGAGCTGCTCAGAATCACACCTCAGTCCCCAGGTCTAAATTACCCCACTTTCCTAAATAACTAGCTCACACCTCCTCCATCCTTAAAGCTTTACCACTTCTTTCTCCAATCTCAAACTTACCGATGACCTTATCTACAACTAGACTGGACTCCCAAATGCTCCTTCCACCATGTCTACCCACCTTCTCCCTCTGTGCCCAATATTCTTCCTTCCCTCTCTCCCTGTGATTGGTTTCTGTGCTCTTCAGAATAAACTCTCCAGGTGTGCATTGGATCCTTGCCTTCTAGCCTACTCAAGAACTTTTTCCCCCCATCCTACATTCCATCACTGACTTCTCTACAGGACCATTCCCTCCTATATGACCACAATATTATTATAATTTTTTTTCAAATGAGGGAACCTGCTTTATCTTAAGAGGCCCAATGAACTGCAGACACCCTGACTCTCTCAGCTTGTGTTGGACTGTTACCAGGACTCCATCCCAGCAGCATGCCAGCTATGGCAGGGTGAGTGTGTGGCCAAGATGCCAGACAGATGGGGCAGGCAAGTTGGGTGGGGCTGCCAATATTGTGCACCCCAGTGAAGAGATGACACCTCATAAATCTAGCTGGCCCAGAGTCCATGTGGTCTGTTTATTAATACTGCCTTGTCTTCACATGGTGGTGGTGGAGTGATGATAAATGTGGCAAGCTGCCTTCCAAGGTCATTTTGTCATAAGAGGAGTATCCTCTTTTTACCACCTGCAACATTCTTATTCATGCCAAGAGCTATGAACACCTCAGACCAAGAGAGTTTTCTTCCTGGAAAAACATACTTTTCCTCCAGATTACAGAGATATTGGCCATCATCCCTCCACTCCCCTCTCTACTGCCAAAGATTCTCCCAGAGAATGAGCCCATTCAACCTCCAGTCTTCCCAATACGTGGGGTCCAGTTCGAATATTCAGACCACCCAGAAAAGTGTCTTCTAACACTTGTTTGTGATTCTAACAAAACCAGGGTTGATATCAGTCATAGTAGCTCTTAAGAGCCCTCCTTCCACAGGAAAGATGATGGAATGTGATGGACATTATTACCCTAGGTACATGTATGACTGCACATATGGTGCAACACTACATCACGTACAACCAGAGAAATGAAAAGTTGTGCTGCAATTGGGTACAATGAATCAAAATGCATTCTGCTGTCATATATACCTAACTAAAATAAATAAATAAATATTTTAAAAAAGAGTCCTCCTTCAAAAAAGCTTGGCCTACTTACTTATCTGTCACAGCCTGCATGAACTCATCCAGCAAGTCATCGTACTCCTTCCCACGCACACGCTGGTGTTTCAGGCCGATGTAAAGAGGGTCTCTGAGCAGCTCCTGGAACAGACAGCACCCATTTACTTACTTGCTCCCACTGTTCCCGATTTACTATTATTATTATTGGTTCTTTTGGGGGGGATGGTACTGGAGATTGAACACAGGGGCAGTCAACAACTGAGCTCCATCCCCAGGCCTTTTTTGTATTTTATTTAGAGACAGTGTCTCACTGAGTTACTATTGTTTTTAAAATAAGTGTTTAGGTTGAGTGGGAAGGAGCAAGTAGGTGGAAGAGGAAGAGAATCCTTCCACCCACACCAAGGGGTCAATTCTGGAAGGGTCTGCAGGCTAAGCCACTGACAGAAGGTGGACTCCCAAGTGGTCCCCACTTTAGGAACAAATGATGCTTTGAACAAGGCAAGCCTCTCAAACACAGTCCTCTAACCCTGACTGTAGGCTCTGGGTTTATTTCAGGATTTCTCAACAGTACCACTATTGGCATCTTGGCTTGGATAATTCTTTTTTAAAAAAATATTTATTTTTTAGTTGTAGTTAGATACAATACCTTTATTTTATTTATTTATTTTTCTGTGGCCTCACATGTGCAAGATGAGTACTCTACCACCCCAGCCCCAGGCTTGGATAATTCTTTAGTACAAGGGCTGATTGACCAATATCTTTGGCTTCTAGCCAGTAGAAGCCAATGGCATTCCCAGTCATGACAATGAAATATGTCTTCAGACATTGCCAAAGGTCTTCTTGGAGGTGAAACTGCCACTAATTGAGAATCATTGTAGCTGACTTTAGGCAGCATCTTGTATTGAAGTTTTGGGCCTCATCCAAAGCTCCTGATTGGACTTAGAAAATCATTGATTGATTGATTGATTCATTCATTCATTCCTTCAATGAAATCTTACCTACCACATGCCTCACACATGGGATACAAATATAGAATGATACAACCAGAAATAGCTCAAGAAAGATGCCCACCTTAAGCCCTAGTCTGTGACCACTCTGCCATTTGCAGTTCTTGCTGTCAAAGCAGTCACATGCTGTTGGGTCATTTGCTGTGTCTACACTGGTCTGAATGACCTCTCCCACTGGAGTTTCCACCTTTTCTATCCCCTATGAATTGGAAACTCATTCATGCATGGTATGTTTTATTTATTTATTTGAATTTTTATAGAAGTTTTATATGTGAGAGCCAAAAATCTGGAAACAAAACCTTAAATGTCCTTTAAAGGCGAATGGTTAAACAAATTGGCACATACATTCTATAGAATATACTACTCATAAAATTATTGGAACAAACTACTGATACATAACAACACCTGCACTAATCTCATGAGAATCATGTTGTGTGAAAGAAAACTAATTCCAAAAGGCTACATCCTTCAAAACTCCATCTATAGAACATTCTTGAAATGACAAACTTATAGAGATGGAGAATAGGTCAGTAGTTTCAGAGGTTGGGGAGAGAAAGGAAGGAATGTGGGCTTGGTTATAGAAGGACAGCATGAAATATCCCTGCGAGGATCTGCTCTGTATGTATACTGCTGTGATGGTGCAGGAATCTACACATGTCACAAAACTACATGGAACTAAACACACACACACACACACGAATGTAAAACTGGTGGTGATATTGTACAGAGCTATGTAAGATGTTACCATTGGGGGAACTAGATAAAGAGTATACAGGATCTCTCTTATTCTTTTATTCACATGCTGAAACAGCATGTTAATCCACATTATTTCAAAATACAAAGTTCAAAACTAAACAAAGAACTTCATTAAAATGTTTGCAACTTCATATAATAAAGATGATACACTTATTGATCTTCTACTATTGCTGATGAGGGGCCCCCAGAGGGGTTTGGAGGTGAGTGAGAAATGGTTGCTGCCTTCAGGGTGCTCAGTCTATTGCAGGTAAACTAACTCTACTGCAGGGTAGGGAGACAGTGTTTGGAACAAAGTGAGGCACATGGAAGCACAGAGGAGTGTGGTAATTTTCCTCGGCTGTTGGATGTGGGGTTGTGTTACAGAGAAAATTGTCAGGCACTGAAAGACTGGCAGGTTTCAGCAGGTGGGCTGGGCCCTCTAGGCAGAGGTGTTGGCACAAAGAAAGGTTGGGGGCTGGAGCATAAGAATAAAGAAAGTACCTGGTGTGTTTGGGGAATGTGAAGTAATTCCATGAATAATGGTCTTCTGAAATTACCTATTTTTGTATTTGGATCACCAAAAATAAGAGTCCAGGACAGGAGGACAGGAGTTGTTTTATCTTCATCTCCATCTGAGCAGCTACTGCAGGATGCAAAGATAAGGATGACACCTTACTACCCTCAAGGGCCTTAGTGTAGAGTCTCACCCTACCATCCACAAGCTGGGTGACTTTGGGCAAAGCATGTGACCTCTTTGAGCCTCCTTCTCGTCTGCCAAGTGGGGATGAAATACTAGCTGCAGAGGATGGTGGTGATGATTGAGTGAAATAACACCAAAGAGCTTTGTGAATTATAACACATGCTATGAAATAATGGCAGCAGTTGCCGTTTTCATAGTGTTCCTATGTACCATGTTCTGTCTAGAGCAATTAGCAGCCTAAAGTCATGGCAGCCATTGGAAAAGTGAAGCTCACAGGTGAATCTGCTGAAGGGAGGGTATTTGGTATCAACCTTAAGCTGCTCAATGACTGGTCACTGTGCAGGGCTGGGATGGGCCATTCCTGCCCACCCGAGATTCCCGAGGCAGTCTTTGCTTGGGGACTTTCCATTGGCCAGACTTCCTCTCCCTGGGCTGCACTGCAGTCAGAACTGTTCTTACTCAATTCTAGATCCTTTCTCTCTCCTTTCATAGGAGTCTGACCTGTTTAGTAGTCTGAAGATCCTGCCCATCTCCAATGACTTTGGAAGCCCTCCCACTTTACTTTTGTTTTCTCTAGGAATTTCTTACAAAGGATCTGAGAGACAGGTCTCATTACTTTCTTTCATGTTACAAATGCAGCAGCAAGATACAGAGTGGTTAAGCAACTTGCCCTAAACCTTGAACTAGTAAGGGCAAGAGTCAAGATTCAAACCCTGAGTCCACGGTCTCAACATGCAGCCATGCTGCTTTGGTGGCTTTTTGGTACATCAACAAAAATTGACTTACAAGTTTTTAAACCCTCTGCTCTCCTTCTGTCCTATTTTGATGTCATTGGAGGAGGTGGTGGGGAAAGGTGCAGGGACAGAAAATAACAGGAAATATTTGCCTTTACAATCCTTCATCCCCAGTTCTGGGTCCATATAATCTGTGGGTTTAGCACTTTGTTAGAGTATCACAGGTCTGCATTTAGAAAGTGGATCCTCACCTCCTTCTCTTATTCTCTTTGTTCTCTGGATTGATCCTTGAAACTGTGAGGGCTCTTTCTTGTTAGGTGTGTGTGTGTGTGTGTGTGTGTGTGTGTGTGTGTGTGTGTGTGTGTGTAGTGGGGAACAAATAAAAGGTTGAAGGTGGGACATATTTGGTGCTCACCCTCCACATGCCTCTTTCAAAGTAACCATCTAAAGGACTCTTAGTAAACACCTAGTGAGGAGGAATGATAAAGTAAATGATGGTGTAACAACTCCATGGACAGCTGGGCAGTCATTAAAATGGGTTTTTAGACTTTGCAGCCACCTGGACAAATGTGGATGAGACTATTTAAAGGGAAAAAGCACAATACAAGATTGCTCAAATCATACAGGTATCATGATTACAACTATCTAAAAACACATCCACACAGGCACATATAGAACCTAGAAAGACAAACACAGAAATCATTGAAAATAGGGCAACTCCATGTTTTGAGTTCATGTAAAAATTAGAAGGATTCATGGTAAGTTATAACTTCTAATATTTCCAAGTCACAGATTTGAATCATGATGCCGCAGGGAGCATAAAATGAATTTCTCAGTGCAAAATATGGAGTTTTTGGGGTGAGTCAAATTCTCCAGGGGCATGAAAGAATTTTTTGATTTTTCAAAGTTTCTCATTATATCTCAGTGAAGATCAAAGCTCAATCATGAGCCAGGCACTATGAAGCCTGTAATCCCAGTGACTTGGGAGGCTGAGGCAGGAGGATCTCAAGTTCAAAGCCAGCCTTAGCAACTTAGTGAGACCCTGTCTCAAAATAAAAAAATAAAAAGGATAAGAATATAGGTCAATGGTTAAGTACCTCTGGGTTCAATCCCTGGTACCAAAAAGAAAAAAAAAAGTCAACCACAATGAGATACTATTGAGATATGAGTGGCTCTAAAAAGGTTTTCTAAAAGTCCTTATATTTATTTTTGTAATAAAATGTTCTCTGCCTCAAATACTTCAAAACTACAATCAATCAACAAGTACATGGAAAAATGCTCACCATCTCTAGCAGTCAGAGAAATGCAAATCAAAACCACCCTAAGATACCATCTCACTCCAGTAAGATTGGCAGCCATTATGAAGTCAAACAACAACAAGTGCTGGCAAGGATGTGGGGAAAAGGGTACACTTGTACATTGTTGGTGGGACTGCAAATTGGTGCAGCCAATTTGGAAAGCAGTATGGAGATTTCTTGGAAAGCTGGGAATGGAACCACCATTTGACCCAGCTATTCCCCTTCTGGGTCTATTCCCTAAAGACCTAAAAAGAGAATGCTACAGGGACACTGCTACATCGATGTTCATAGCAGCACAATTCACAATAGCAAGACTGTGGAAGCAACCTAGATGCCCTTCAATAGACAAATGGATAAAAAAAAATGTGGCATTTATACACAATGGAGTATTACTCTGCATTAAAAAATGACAAATCATAGAATTTGGAGGGAAATGGATGGCATTAGAGCAGATTATGCTAAGTGAAGCTAACCAAGCCCTAAAAAACAAATGCCAAATGTCTTCTTTGATATAAGGAGAGTAACTAAGAACAGACTAGGGAAGAAGAGCACGAGAAGAAGACTAACATTAAACAAGGATGAGAGGTGGGAGGGAAAGGGAGAGAGAAGGGAAATTGCATGGAAATGGAAGGAGACCCTCAGGGTTATACAAAATTACATACAAGAG